AAACTTTTTCATAGGAGACACATCCCTTCCAGACCCCCGAGAACCTTTGGCAAATCTAAAAGCACAATAAAATTACAAAATCAATCAGAGCAGCAGCGGTTCTCCTTCTCTGGCTCCCAAACATCTCTCATATTGATCATCAGCCAGAAGATCCAATAAAATAACTACTCCCTTTCCACACCACATTTTCCCCCCAAATAAAAATTCCTGTCTCATCTATAGCAACCTTTCTTCCAAACCTTGCTTAAGTAAATGGCCTTCTCTGTTTGCCTCTAAGATAAAAGAAGGAAGAGCAGTCCACATCGAGCTGATGGAGAAAGGCTGTTTGACAGAACTTTAATTATTGAAATAATAAGTTGACGTGGCTCCTTAGTGCTAATTCCTCATGGTATTTCACTTGTGCGTGCTTTAGAACAATGGTTAGAAGAAAAATGACTCAGTGGGCAACAAAAGATTAAAGACTGGTTATCACAAGACTTATCTCATTCTGCTGAGGAGTCCCCGCTTGCCAGGATCAGGGCCTGTGTGACCCTGCAAGTGCCTGCAGAACCAGAAACACCTTTGCAAGGGCTTGCAGGGAACAGGTGACGAGCAATTATGCAGTGCAGCTGGATGCCCTAGAGACTAGCATAAATGGCTTCCCTGCACTGCTGCTCTTTGCCACAGCAGCACCAGCTGTCCTTGTGACTCTGCCCCACCTTCCACCTTGTCTCCAATCTGACCCTGATTCTCAAGCATCTGCACCATTCTTCCCAACCTTGCCTTGAATGTGACTGTCCCTCTGGAACGTAACCTTTGGACTGTGTTCTTAAATTATGCCTTTGGATTTTGCTATCTTGACTGTATTTGCTTGAATCTACTGTTGCCTTGGCTTTGACCCTAGGCTGTTAAACAAAAGTGTTTCTTGCCTCTCACCTCTTCAATTTGCACCTGCACACTGGTCCCAGCATTCCAACCTCAGTTGCCTGCCACCCACACCCTGGACCTTACATCACTTACCTCTTCCACTTGCAAGGGAGGGCAATTAAATGATACAGCCAATGGTGGCTCCTATTGACTGAGCAGGCTTTTCCCCAGGTGCAATTTATTTGATGTTATTATTTATTAGATTACATAAACAACTTCATTTCTGGAATCCATTTCACATAGTCACACGTTATCATTCATCATGCATGAACCCACTGCATACCAGCACGTACACTCAAAGGTTGCTTGCACAAAGGTAGAAAATATAGTGTGAACAGAGCCTAACTTGCATGCTAACTAGTTGTAAAAACAAGATTTGCCTATACCAAAATAAATGCCCCTAACATTACAATTGGTCCTTACCTCAAAGGAAGAAAAGCAGGAAGACATTCCTATTTGTATATACATAGTATAGCTACTTGAGTGTCACAAGCCCAAAAGCTAGTTGTACGCAATATTGTTAATTAGCTGAAGCAACTACTATGAGTTAAGAAAGGAAGACTGACAGGAAGGAAACCTTGAATGCAACAGTATAAATTCCATAGAAGTATCTGATTAATACTTCTGAGTTGGTAATTTTGAGTGGGCTTATCAGAAAAGAAATAGGCCATCTATTGCTCTATGATAGGAGGCAACACCTTGAGATAGAATGTTTACAGATCACAAAAGCCATTTGTTTTATAGCAAATATTCTACTGAAAGGCAAGTTTAACCACAAATCAGTGCCAATACTCTTTTTAAAGGACACAGAGGCTCCTGCCATAAAACCAACACAATAGTTTTATATAGGAAATTCTATGGTTTCAGCACTCCTGAAAGCAAGAGACTTCAGAAGACTGTACAAATGAACACAGAATTCAGAATAAAGATGTCAAAGACTGAGGTACAATTGATCTAAAGGAAGTCTGGCACACAAATCTGCTTGCTTAAAATTCTTACGGTAATGAAGGTAGTTGTCCACAAGGGTTACTAGAAAGAAAGCTCTAAGTTTTTTTTTTAAACAGAAGGTACCTAAAAATGTCCTAAATATATTTCACATAAAAGGTATTTTAGTTTGCTAAGTGCCAAGGTCTGAATGATGGTGGAAAATATGTTGGTACTGTCAATTAGCCCAATAAGTATTAAGCTCTGTGTAGCAGCATAATCTCTCCAAAGTGTGGAAGCAATCATAAGTTTAGGATCAGCAGATTTAGAGCTTCATGAGTGATTAAGGAAGAATCTTTGAAAAACTTTATGTAGATTAATGTATTGCTGTCTTTTCTGTTTTACAAGGAACAGAGTAAAAATACTTTACCTCACAGGAACTGGTTATCACACAATTGAAGGTATCTTACAACATTTTAAAAATCATATGAGAAAGTGAATAAATAAATCTATTTAAATCAAAATAAATGTCATCCACCAAATTTGAGCATAATTAGTACATACATTGAAACATTTTAAGATTTGCTGAGCATTTCCTACAGAGTAACTTTCTTTCCCTGAAATGTGGAGATGGGATGGATGGTCCTATAGCATACGTTTCCTGACAAATAGTGCATCTAGCCAACTGTTGACATTCTATAAAACAGACAACTAAACAAGCTATCTGAAATCTGAGAGAAAGTCCTTTGAAGAAAATTATGGAACCAAGAGCGTTGTGGATTCTGCATTGGGAATGTATCAAGGAGATCAAACAAGACTGCTGGCTAATTATCCCCTCATCACTTCATTCCAAAAATTATGATACTCCTTCCTGATATTGAGAGATTTTGGGCACAAGTGCCATGGCTTATTAGTTGTTCATCTATACTAACTGCAGATGATAACAATAAAAGAAAGACAATATAATTCAACAAACTACTTCTCCATAAAGGTTTATAATCCCAATATTCAGAAGTTTAGCTTATTGGGTTTGTCTGCAGTTGACACTTTCCAATGAAAGGCAGTGTTTTAAAAATTCTTTATGTTATTCAAGCTTTATGTGATGCGCCTACGAAAACTTTTCCTACTGAACATTCCAGGACAGGTTGTGTCCTCTGGATGTTTTGAGTACAACTCTGAGCATTTCTGACCACTGGCCATGCTGGTTGGAGTTGATGGGCGTTGAACTTCAAAAATCTGGAGGGCACCAGCATGGGGATGGCTGTACCAGCAGATGTGATTGTCTAAACAATCCCTGATGCAGTACATCCACGACAGTTTCAGCTTTCCCTCTTACTCAACTTCATTTTCCACAAGTGATACTGACATTCTGAGAACATGGCTTCATCATCTGAAACATCATTCAATCCCAGGAAATTCAAGAAACCTACAGTCTTCCTGGTCACTCAGTGACCTTTCTTACAAACTGGAGATGAACCTGAAGATGCTGGATTTTTAAGCCTATCACGGCTTAGGCTATAAGCAAGATTTCAAAATGATTTCTCAAGCTTTACTTCATGCAGTCTACTCTCCATAATGGGCACACTCTATATTTCATTCTGCTTTCAACAAGAATATTAAGTTCCAGTATGCAATCCTGCTGCTAACCCTATTATTATCCATAGCCTTCTCAATCCGCCCCGAGGCTTCGGCGAATGGGGCGGCATAAAAATGTTTTAATAAATAATAATAAATAAATAGGTATCAGACTATCTCACCAGCTTTAAATGTATTGGTTGAATAATTACATATCCAAGATCAAGTGGTTGAAACAACATAGACTAGAACCAGTGATTTAAAGTGTCCTACAATGTAGAAAATACCTTTTTTTTTTTTTTTTTTTGGAAGTGGTGGGGGTGCTTCTCAGTATTTAGATGTTCCAAGGAACAATCCTTTGGCCAGAGTTACACTGTTTACTGTTTTATTGTTATCTATTATTCCAGGAATCCTTCTACTACTTACATAGCTAATACTATCAGAACCTCTGATGCAAGGATCTATGTGGGCAAGTCAATATCCTAGTGGTCATGACTTCATAATTTTTTTGTCAAAGAGACCAATACAGAGCCAAATTAGCTTGTTTTATGGTGATAATAGTGTTTAGTAGTTCCAACAGTGAAGTTAAGGGGAGGGCCTTCAAAATTCAAATACTGAGAGACGAGTCTAGATGTTCTATCAATGCAGGTACCCTTCCAAAAAATGTACTGGAGCCTCAGAAGAACAGAAGACTGTTCAAAATTTCAAGTATGCTCACTGCTAAACAACAAAATCAACTTGACAAAAGACATTTTAAAACACCATTAAGAGGCTAATTATGCAATGCCTACCAACTTCCTTTTGTCTAGTATGAAAGGGAATGTTCTTACTTTACTAGGGTGAGTATAATAGTCTATGAATTATAAGATCAAAGAGGCAAACTGTATGTTTTCCAAAGTAAGAATTCCTTCACCAAGTTTTACACTTACCACAGCTAAAAGAGCTGTGTGAAGGGATCAGCACTAAACCCAAAGGACAGGCTGTGCATGGCAAGAAAGAGAGCAACTCCCTCGTGCTTTTTGCAGGTCACTACGAAGGACCATGTTAGCAGATCCACTCCAGACCCTTAACAGGCAGCTCTGCTGCTACCAGTAATTAGCTTGGACAGCTCTGGCTCCAAGAGTAGCAGCAAGGCTACACCATAATGAGCTCAGCTGGGATTAGCAGGACAGGGCAGGGAACCAAGAGAGCTGAGGCATTCTGCATTGCGTATGTATCAAGGAGATCAAACAAGGATGGCTGGCTAGGTTATCCCCTCACCACCTCATTCCAAAAATGAAGCACGGCAGTGTGTAAAATACAGGCTAATGAAGAGCGACACCTCCAACAGATGAGAGCCACATTAATTAGCACAATCCCTAGATCATGTAATACAGTTTCAGTAAGTGCTAGCAAACTTGTTGTCACTGATTTAAAGGGGGTGGGAGGGAGACTAATGTTTTTCCTCTCTCTTTCTGGTAGAAAAAGATGATTTAATTTTGGTATTTGAAAGGAATTCCTCTGTGTGGCCATCAAGACCCAACAAGAAAAAGATTCAGAGAACTAGCTCACATTTCTTAAAGCATATGTTGTTGTTTTTAAATAAAGAAACTCACTTTTCAATCAACAGCTTTTTTTGTTCCTTTTTGAAATATGCCAGCTCATTCCACACAGCATCAGAATCTTCTTGGCAGAGATGCTGTGGATCTGAACGCTCCTTTCCACTTTGGCTGCTTCCAGGCCTGTGCATTTAAAAGAAAAAAAATCTATAAAATCAAAATGTCTAAAATCCCAGAGAAAAGCAAGTAGTAACCAATACTTAATAGTGCTACATTGTAGTGCTGTTACTACAACCACTCTGCAAAATGTTGTTGTATAGAAATCAAAGCTTCAGTTAAATAACTTGGAAAGATCAGCTGCTGATATGCCAGCAGAGTTCAGAACTGATGTGTATCAGATTATACTGTTAACTCATTCATACAGTCTGCAGAGAACAAGTTAAAAGTAGACACGTCTGATTCAGTCACAGAAAAAGGTTAGGACCTGCCAGTTCTCCCAACATCCTGTGTCAACTGTTCTTTAAGTGACACAAATGCTTGATCTGAGGAAAGCTGGTAACCCCTCTTATGTTAAAGTAGCACACTGCAATAAACAGAATGACAAAAGGAAAAAAGAAGCTAAAAAAGGTAAACACAAGGGGAAAATGTTAGATGATTTTAAAACCTCTGTTTATAAAGAATTCACAAAATACCCCTTGGTTGGTACAGCTAAAATTCCAGAAATGAGTACTAAATTATTTTAGAACCCTGGTATTCGCAATGACACACAGCATTCCTGTGGGACAGAAAAATGAATAGTGAGAAATGTTTATCATTTTGCTGTTAATGCAGGAAGAAAGGTTGTCTGGATACAGAAAAGGTTTCCCTTTAAGCAGCAGCAGCCAAATTTATTACAAAAAATGTCACAGCTGTATAGTATAGATTTCTACTCCAAGAAATTATTTTTAGTCTTCAGTAATCAATGAAACACAAGTTGTATGGTACTAGCAGGTCACCTTACCCATATTAGAGGTGCTAACATGGATCACAGAACTGCAATAACTAAAAGTTGTATAACAGTGCTTGCTATGGAGACTGCCATATTAATCCTTGCCCCGTGGCACTCTATATAGAATTCAGAGTCAGTTTACATTTACAGTCAATCCACGATGCATGGCTGTGATGTTATAAAGCTATTTCCATGAACTGGTTTATACTTATGCTGATTTCCATGCAAATACCTCTGGAGAGTGAAGGGACTGCCAGTGGACTCGCAGCTAGCCAGAAGTCCTGCAGAGGAGCAGTGTTTAAAACACCTTGCACTGTCTCAGTAGTCCTTCCCACAATTGGTGCTTCCATGCTGGTCAGAAGCCCATTATCCCTCACAAGGCAACCATAAGAATGACTTCGATAGCATTCTGTGTGACGATCCATTATATATATTTCCCCCCACCTCATGGTATGACCAAGTAGAGCTCTGGTCTTAATATGGCAAATTGAATTCAAATATCTGCACATAAAACCCTGGATAGCCTTGAACAAGTCACTGTCAACAACCAAAACCAACCCTTTGTCCATGGTTGTTGCCCACCTAAAATGAGGTAAATCCACATCCACTGCTGTGCTCCCCCTAGCACCAGTTTGCTATTTGGGATGAAGAAAACATAGTTTATGGACTAAAAGTTACTGCACATTGTGTGTCTTTCTTTGGAAGGAATTTGGAAATGCAATTCCAATTGCACTAAAAATATTACATGAAAATTGTGACAACAACCAGCCAGCTGAAGAGAATGCTATTTATGAGAATGCTACTTACTCCATTTTGTTGTGTTGAGTCTGCAAAGGTGTGAGCCTTTTTGGTCCCCATGTGAGGCGGACCAAAAAAAGTTAAATAAGTAACAACTACTGGAGTAAATCTTTTCAATCAATGTTCTTCAAGAACAACATTACTGAATGAGTTGTAAATGGAAAAGTAGACTGAAATAACCAGTGGTTTGTAAAAACTGTAGTGAAAGAAACCATATAAATACAGTTCAAATGAACACTGATAAGAGAATTAAACCATGGTATTTTCTTTTTATTAAATTGTACAGCAGAGTATTTATAATTGTATGTATTTTTCATAAACACTATGCATATTATCCATATAATTATGCATTTAAATTATGAGTAGATTTTTCCATTAAATAATTTATTTATTTTATTAGATTCCTATAATATTCCTTCTTAAATGAATGAATATGTGGTTTTATTGTTGCAGACATCTCAAGAATTTTGTAAGGCTGAATGGAAGGGTATATATTTTTAAATAAGTAAAAATAACAATTTTATTATGTCCATTCTAAACATCAGGAGTTTTAAATTTAAAAAAAATTGAAAGAAATTATTCTGAAAATGAAAAATAGCAGAACTGTTTTTCAGAACACTACACACCATTTTAAATACATTCATGCAATGTTCTTTAGTCATCACCCACAGCTGACTGTCCTGTTTAAGTGACAAATAGATTTATTTATTTAGAGAGAGGGAGGGAGGGAGAACTAGTTCTAGGCTAAAGAAATATTTTACTGATAATAATCTCCCATACCATTCTTTGGACTTTTTGTAATAAAAATATGTCAGTTTCAAGGAACATTAGATTCCATTGTGATTGTAACTCTGGATAGATTAGCGGTGCTTTAGTAGGGATGGGATGAGCCCTAAGGTAAAAGTATGGATATGCCAGTCTGTGTAATACAGTGGTACCTTGGCTCATGAATCTGATCCACGACTCTGGTTGTGACCCAAGTCAAATTTCCCCATTAAGATTCAATGTAAATAAGGTTAATCTGTTCTGGCCCCTCCAAATGTGGTTGTGGGTCAATTTTTGGTCATGAGCCAAGTCAAATTTCCCCATAAGGTTCAATGTAAATAAGGTTAATCTGTTCTGTAACTATTTTTTTTAATCAGAAAAATTTGAAACAAAGTCACAAAGAAAAACTAAGTAACAAAGTACTGTACAGTACAGTGGAGAACACTAACCTAGGTGCGGGGGAGGTTATTGTTTTGAGGGAGAGTCCCCCCCATAAGGACACTGGGGAGATCTCTTTCAGGGGTTTCCTCTCTTGTCTCTTAGCTGCAGGGTCAATTTTGGTGAAAAATCAGTCTGTAGTCACTTGGTTTTTTTTCTGCGCTGCATAACCCTCCAGAAATGAGAGACCACGTTATCGTTCATCAGATTCAACACTCTGATCGTTACAATTATGTTGGGGTGGTGCTTTTCAAAGAAATCCTGGTACTCATTCAATTTCTTCATAATGGATAGCATCACATCACTGCTAACCTCCTCCCTGTCTTCCTCTTCCTCAGTGGAATGCTCCTCAGCAAGTGCCTTCTGCTGCTCACTCTGGAGTTCAGCAAGTTCTTATGTCGTCAGCTCCTCTATGTCTTCCCTGCATGAACGCAACCGCAATCATGGCCATCTCACTCGGGGGTGAGGGTGGGGAAAGGCCATGATCGTGCTGGTGTGTGTGGTGGGGAGATGGCCGAGATTGCGCCCATCTTTCCTGCAGGAGCGCGCCCTTGATCATGCATGTCTTCCCTGAGATTGCAACTGTGATTGTGCCATCTCCCACTTGGGGGGGGGGGGGGGGGGAGATGGCCATAATCTTGGTTGCCACCCAATGCGGAGTTCACAACCCAAGTCAAAATTTTCATGAAATGTTTGCTTGTGACCCGATTCGGTTTTGAACCAAGGCGTTCGTGGGCTGAGGCACTACTGTACGTTCTGTTTTCTTAAAGTGGCAAATAATGTCCTTGTCTAATTATATCTTAAAGGGGCTTCATTCAAATGGACCTCACAAAGAAACGAAAGAGCTTATTATTTCCTTTATTTAATTAAAATTTATCAGCCAGATTGAAAGGTATGGTGGGTGCTCTGTTGCACACATAAAGCTTCCTGCAAACAAGAGTTCACCATTCACTACAACACTGGGGCTATCTTGATAGGCACCGTAAGCATGGAAAGTGTAGACTATTCTACAATAACCGCCCCCCCTGCAAAAAATCCATAGGCATTTCAGATCACCACTAAGAAGTCAATAAGGCTTTGAAACCATTTTTGGCATCCTTTGGATTTGGGTTCTAAAGGAATCTGTGCATGGCACTCTATCTGGGACTTTCCTGGAAATCACTTTATTTCTGAATACTTGTTGGGCAATTACATATTTGTTTAGCAGACACCATTCCTCAGGATAGTTCATTTGTTACAAGGGTATCACAATTGCACAGTAAGCAATAGCAATATTTTGTTAAAATGGAAATATTATAGATGTCCACAGCTACTATAACAGTCATAAGTGCTTTGTGAAAAGTGGCCATCTAGGGTTGTAATAAGCAATATAACTTCTTACCCCCTTATATTAAAAAAATCTTACTGTACATGAGCAAATATAGCCCTTTAAATACTAAAGAATGTGGAAGCATTAGCAGGGTGAGCCCCTCTCTTTCAGCAAGAATAACATGTGATGCAAGAACTATTTTTTTTAAGCTCTTTGAAGGCTTTCCAGTGGTGCAGCGCTGGCAGGACACATCTCCCAATTAAGGAAAATCAACTAATATGATGGCTTCTGCCACAGCATGTGGGAGACAAGTTACTGTGCTACTCATGTTGGATTACAGCTTGCACAAATGTGGTCATAAAAGAAATATTTGTCTGGAACGCTACTCAGTCATTGTTACCTGGGTACAAGTGACAGGCTTAAAGTAACTTATATAGCTTCATCTAGCATTTCCATGGAATGTACACATATATCCAGTGAAAGAAGCATAGTCCATCAACTAGCCAAACCATTTGCTATTGAACACTGAGCTTTTCCAGAAAAGGAACATATATGCTGCTGGACAGATCCTATGAGGTTATGATTCTAGGATACCATTTTCAATTACTCATAAAAATCTGCTTTTATTTAATTTGGGGAATTGTGCCCAACTGTCTTAAAGTAACTGTGACTGTTGAAAGCCAAAAAATAAAGGAGGTATTACTACAAAAGCACACCTATAATTCTATGTAGCCATCATCAAGCTGCTCTCCATTTGGTGTCCAAGTGTGTGTGGGGGTGGGGGCATGAATAAACTGTGCTGTTTAATTAGAAGTGAAATCTGGAAAAATCAGTTGGTGTACCAAAACCTAGCATTTATTTCAGAACAGTTGATGGGCCATGTGGTCCATCGGTCCCTTTTCATTACTTCGAAGTTGACTCAGATCTACGGGTTGTTCTACCACCAATTAAGTAGTGAGAATGGGATACAACAAATTCTGTGTGCTTGTAGTATAATGAAGTAAGATACAAGACTCCTTGTTAACCCATTTTCTATTTTGCATAGTAGCAGTTTTTGGGCACTCTGTCAGAGACATCTACCAGTACCGGTAACAGATCCTTCCACTGGAGATTTCAGGTAAGGAAACCAAGATACGTGTTTTACTAATAACAACCATAATGAAATTATCAATAGCAATGTTAGGATATTATACAGCATTGGCTCTCACCAGAGATCAGAATTAACTATCAGAAACCTTATTTTATGATCCAAAGAACAGGTAGACATAGGGCAGGTTATGGGGGATGGACTAGAAATTATTCACATGTACACCACAGCAGTTTGTCCCTATTTGGATCCTCAGATTCATTAGAAAGAGAGCTCAAATGCGCATTTACAGATGTCACAACTACTTAAGTTATCCATACTTTAAAACACAATTTGTTCTTGTCCATCTTTCATGACTATTACAGCCAAATGACTTTAGTGGAGTATAACGGTATATAATAATGGAGTATAACTGTATCTACTAATGAAATATTACATGTTTTGTAATGGTTATTACATATTATGCATAATTATTTGGAGTGAACTGCAGCATTTTACAAAATCTACACAAACATGACAAAATAAGGAGTAATTGAGCAAGATAAAGCCAGTTTGACAACTGAAAAGTGTACTGAATCTAGGCCAGCAAAAAACCCAAGAAAGTATGGCTTGACATTATGTGTCTAAGCCTGAAAACCATCTACTTCCCACATCCCTAAACTCCCACCCCTTCTCCTCATTATATCTTTAAGTATAAATAGTGAGAACAAATGGACGCAAAATACAAGAGCTAGTGTGATACAAGCCAAGCACAGTGACCATTCACTATAGTAGCAATTGGTAATAACAGTCAACGGCCTCATTCAATTTATAAAACTTCAAATGGAATCTAATGGAGTATCAATTAATGTCAGTTTTTGTTCATTTCAGCTTCTCATATGAATCTGTATCATGTATTCTTCTATAATAGTAAATGACCAGAGCATCAAGAAAGGGTTTTTCCCACTTTAAACAACTTCCTTTCTGGAACACCTAAGCAGCAAAAGCTGCATTCAGATTTAATACATATAATGGCTTTAATGAGCTGTGTAACTTACTTGCTATAGCCGTCCTCCCATTGCTTTAATTGCTTTTTTACTGCTCTGTAGTTGGTCTGTAACATCTGCAGCCTTTTTTTGCGCTTTTCATGGGCTTGTCTCAGCTCATCATTTTCTTGAATCTGCATAAGAGGAAAGTGGTAAGATACTGGTATGTCTAAGTAAAACATAAGAATTTGCAACAGACGTATACTATGAATAAATTTCTTATCTGCAATCAGCTGTCAACACACAATTTGTTAAATTTAAGCGTAACTGAAGAGACTTCACAGTCACAGCTGATCAGACTTATACAAGCATTTGTCATAAAATGCAAGAGGGAACACACAGGCTGAGATCTAAAGAACTGCAGAACCAGTTGTGCATGCCATGCCCATCAGGCCTTCAGACTTACACTTCTTAAGAAATATCCACCAATGCTACATGGAATACTACTTTGGAAATTAAGGGCAGTTAGGGAAGATGACATGCAGGTGGGGGTAAGGAAGGCAGTGCTGGTCTACTGAGATTAGAAAGAAAAATCCCACTGGATGTTCACTATAATGGCTATTTGAAGCTGAACCAATGGATGTTAATGATAGTTTCAAGAATTACTATAAAAAAAGCATTCTTTGCTTTAACATATACTTATCAGTTGTAAACATGTAGGACAGATAAGAATATACCATACTATGCCCACTGAACTTTCATCCACAAGTGATTCCTGAAATTTATGAAATAGAAATTGGTTGAATTTTTACAGGTTTACTTTCAGTGTAGCTGCAGAATTATCACTGTGTAATATCATTTAGGCCACTTTCTATGCCCAGTGAAACTCCAAAGAGTCATATGGCTTGTCCCAAAATGCCATGTTAGGTATAATTTTTGGTGTGTAAACGAGAACTAGATAAACACATTTAGATCTGAAACCTTTGAATATATACATGCAAAGATGCTTTTAACACCACACCCATGTTTGATAGGCAGATACAACTAGCTGCAGGTTCCAAGCACATGTACAATACATATAGATATCGGTGACAGGCACCCATGTCTGTTTCAGACATGATGATATACATGTAAAGCATAAAGCACACAAGTAATTCTTCATAGGAGTGCACAACTACATTTCTGGGGATCTATGTCCTCCAGTCATTAATTAACAGAGTTCTGTCTACTGATGTAGCAACTTTAACATTTTATTTCCACTATTCAATGAATATGAATCACTGGGAAAAAGGTAAAACTTCAAGGAAGGAAACATAGGTCTTCTATCTAACTTATTTTCGGTTTCTAATAGAACTTTGTAAAATGGCTGTGTAATTTCTGTTTATCCATCTAGGCCAACGGAAAGCTAAAGCATTGTTTTGTTTATTCTTTAATTTCCACCTTTAGTTGTAGTGTCTTTTCTAAGTTTTCAATCTTTCTTTCAGCTATTTTAAGCTTCCTTAGTTCCTCCGACTCATTCAAAAAGCTCTTTGGGGACAGAGACCTTGAACGTTTCACAGGTGGTTCCTGGAGAATAAAACAAGGACATGGTTGAACTGGTTGGAACACTGGATTATGAAAGACATGCAAAATTAAAGAACAAGTAATTTTGAATACTAATAATGAATTATAAAAAAAATCCTGCATGGAATACCAGAGAAATAACAAGCAGAATTACCACAGCGCTACCACTAAAGGTTTCTCTGTGACTCGTTAATGAGAATATTCATTTACATTTACATTGTTTCTTTCAGAATAATGATGTCCCATTAGGGAAGACTAAAGGGTTATAGACTCAGAAATGCAAGAAACCTCATTACAAAGGAGGGGATAGAGGCTGATCTAATTGCTCTATAAGGGTCCAAGGTTACACTTGATAGGACAACCAGAAACAAGAGGGAAAGGATTTTTTCCCCTTTGAAATAGTTTAACACACTGTGAAGTTGAAGGAACAATATGCTTGAGGAATATAAATACAACAGACAGTAGATCTTATACCATAATGACCATATGGTCATTAACTATAATATGTCTAACTAGAGACAAGAAAGTGTGTTTATATTATGTGCAGCTTCGTATAGCAATCTGGAAAAAGGATGTGTGAAACTAGCACTTAAACTGGACAACCTTCTTGCTTATGCCATGTCAGATGTCCTTACGTAAAAGAAGTATCTGACATATCCTTATTAGCTTTGCCGAATTTTTGGATAACATGCTGGAACACTGGGAAAAATCTCTGTAATATGCTTAATGCTTTAGCTGCACACACAGCTTTTCATTTTTTTAGATTTTGTCAAATAAAGAACAATTTGTAATTCTTCCAAAATTGATCACAGTTCATTTTTTAAAACAGAGAAAGGTGAGATTACGGAGCTCTGTTTACACTTTTTGTTCGCCAATCATGAGTGACCAACATGAAAAAATACTCAATAATTCCCTTTGAAAAATTATTTCTCAAGGACAGTTTGAGGAAAGAACTAATTCTTACATGCCATCTCTCAAGCTAAAGGGAAAAAAACCTGTAAGAGCTAAGCTACACATGAAGAAGTTCATGGCAAGATTCCCCAATATTTCTTTAAAAAGCAGCAGTGGAGCTCTCCTAAGAGGACTGGAGCACCAATGATGGAACAGGAAGACTGTAACTACCTTCCCAAGCTGAACCCCCCTTGCCCAATTAGCCCTCCCACCCCAACTGGACACTGTCTTTGCCTTGATGGGGGGAAACAAATACAAGATAGGTGTCTTCTGTAACAGCAGGCTAATAGCAGTTTGACTGGGGGTGGGGGGAGGAATTTTGATCAGAGAAACAGTGTGAGAGAAAAGGAGTAAAATCCCTCTCTCCCAAGCACAATTGCTCCAATCCAATCCTTCTACCCTGTAGCTGTTTTTAATTAGGCAAACAGTTAAGCACTCGTAAGACCCATGGAAGCCAAAAAGACCTACAGATGCTTAACTGACTGGAGCAATGCTACCAACTGCAAGCATAGATACCATTTAGCATTTGTACATCATTAAAAAAGAGAGAGGTTGATTCAGTCCTTTTGTAAGCAGGCCAGGAAGCACTGATATGTAGTGGCGCACCAGCTTATGAAGGAAGAATATCGTATGATAACACTCATGAAGTCTACAACTCACCTAGCCTTGTCCCTGCAGGTGGAAAGGGTGATAGCCCTCATGTGAAAGGTGACTCAAGAAGAAAGAGGTGTTTTTGTGAATCAATACCCCATGCAGACTATGTAGTCACCTGGATTCATATAACATCAGTACCATTTTTCTGAGGTATTTACATTTCATAAATTATGAGGCCATACAAAATAATCCTCATATGAAAGCGTGAGTACTGTCTGGCTACAAAACTGCCTTGAGTACTAAACATTCCACAGGTAATCAGGGAAGTACTGACAGGAGGCATGAACTGGCCCATAAATTAAAATAATAATCAGCAGTATTTCTCTCTGCTGAAATGGAAGGTATTTGCTTAGGTAACCCTCAGCATTATCTCCTAGAACCACTTTAACGGTCAACTGAAAGGACTCTCCTACCTCCCCTCAAGCCCTGCAAGCTTTCTCTCTTCAAAGTGGTGACCATCTCACAGTAAAACACCAGACTTAGCACATGACTTACCCTAGCACAAGTTCAAGAGAGTAAAAGGTTAAATTTATTTTTATGGGGTGAAAGGAAAGGATAAAAGGGGTAGGGATTTACAGAGACAGCTGGTCAGGGTATGGGGAAATGGATAGCAGCTACAATCAATTACATGCACATCCAGCTATTCCCGTCCTGATCCCCAATATGCTCTGTTGAACCACAGGACCTCAAAACAAAAAAACTGACCTTGCACTGCACGCTCACAATACCATGATGCCTAAAATCCAGTCTTGGGCCAGTGGCATGTCTCCCAACACTAGTAGCTGGTCAATCCTGCTCTCAAAACCTGGGTTTGTTTGTTTTTTTAGCCCCCACCCCCCAACTGACCTAATGGTCTGATATCCCTCCAGCAATCCTAGGCTAATCAAGTTCTCCAGCTGTCAGCAATTATAAACATTTAGTCCACCATCTCTAAGCACTGCTGAGTCCAATAGGCCTTATAAGCAAGTGCAAATTATTCCTGCAGACCTTGACAGCCCAAATTCAATTCCAAGGTGTTATAAATTAGTCGTTGATCTAAGCTACCTGTTTCTTCTCTTACCCAAGGATGAATTTACTCCTTTGTGACACTGCTCGCCTTTACACAGCATCCCTACTCACTTTGAAGAGAGTACTCATGAGACATGGCAAACAAGGCTGAAGTCTACTTTCCCATTAGCACACACATCTTGGAATCACCACTCACACTCCAGCCTGTGGCTGAATGCTCTGTGGTCAGATGCTCCAGGACCATGTGCCATAAATGGAATGCCAAATGCACCCACTTTCCCTGATTCCATTAAGCTGGTCCTCATTTCCATAGAAGTTATATGCTTAAGATCATAGCTAAGATCAGGTAATTCTGTTGCTTGAAGCTAATGCACTGCTATGCTATATAAATCTTTAAGAACATTTTTATGCTTCTAGCATTGTAAACACCATTATAATGATAGTGCTAAGTGCCATGTACACTGACAGTACAGTACCAGTTATAGAATACATTTTGCTGTGGATCAGCTGTAGTTGCTTAGACCAATGAGTGTGGGGATGGGGAAGATTCTGAGGGAGTCAGATTATGAAGTCTTTGACCACAGAAACAAGAGACAGATGCAACTGCATGAGTCAATATTAGATTTACCTGGCACTAGCAAATGGAGTCCAATAGTTTACCCTCAAATATAAGTGACAATGGCCCTATTCTGTGCTTTACTGCAACTGTGGCTCAGCTATACCACAAGAGCTGGGAGAGAAGTGGGAAAACATGCTTATGCCTCACCACATGTTCTCATAAAGGGCAGCTGAAAGTCTCTGCTTCCATCAAAGTGGCAAACCTAATTGTATTATCTTATACCTTAGTTTTTGGTATTTGGAGGCAGCAAATTTGAAGGCCATTTCAGCAATTCAAATATTCTTGGGGGCTGGCTATCTTTGCAGCAGACAGACTTTCATTCCTTTAAAAGACTTTTTAAATCGGCAGGAGCAGGAGTCCCTTCAAAGCTGCCTCCTGGCAGCTGCCAGTCCCACCCTTCTCATCCTCCAGAATGCTTTGAATGCAGCCATTCTTAGTTCTTCTGAAAGAAAATGGCAGCTATCACAAAGGCAGGGGAGAGGGGGAAGGGGGGAGAAAGAGAGGGAGACTGCAAGTGGAGCTGCCATTTTCTCACAGATTACCCCAGAGTGACAGTATGCCAGGGCACTGTGGAAGGATAAATGGTGAATGCACTTCCACAGCAATTCCCAAGTATTTTAAAGTTAAAAACTAACAAGCAAAAATACATAAGCTTCTGCCACTCTCCTACATAGATCTTCTCCCAATTTCATACCCAACTGGAAAGTTGCCGTGTAGCCTATCACAGTGGTACAGAAGCCATTTCTCCATTGACTTCTTCAGACATAGTATGGTTCACATTTCCTTACTTGGAAATATCAGTCTTCATAGCATGCAATGCCCACTTCAAATACAGCAAAAGCATTAGAATCCCAAGAGTTTCTCTCCAGTCCAGAATACAAAGCAAGATTCTGCACATGCGTAAAGAGTGCTTTGCCGATTTCAATCTATTTTAATCCAAATCCTGGACACCAATTCCTGCTTGTAGAGAGCAAAACAAACATCCTTCCAAAGGCTGCATGACTTCTTCCCAACATACTGAAGACCTAAGAGTGTCACTGGGCTTGTTTACCAGCTCTTTGAGCTTGAAACACTGAAACTTTTGCAGGTATTTATTTAGATTTATGAAGGAAGTAATTCGTACTTAGAACAAAAAATAAGTAAGATTTAAAACCAATTAATATGACTTAGTTTTAAAATGAGAAAAACTAATCGGGCAGCATAAATCAAGTTGTGCCATTCTCTGTAGAGTTCTCTAAAATTGCATGTATTGGGTGATCCATTTCCAAGTCAAACAGGGAGGAGCTAACGTTTGAATATCCACCACACTAATGTCTGAATGTCTAGATTCATGTAGATGAGGCCAGTGCAAGGGACATTTCTTTTTTCTTTTTTAATTGTCTTCTTAAAAGAAATAAAGTGCAGAAAGGAAGAAAAATGGAAAAGAAAAATAAGAATGCCAAGCAATCTTACACAAATATAACACATTCATAACCTGAAAATTCCCCCAAAAGCCAAAAATTTCTGTCTTTTTGTCAATTAGTACTTTGTTGAGGATTGCAATAAAGATAATTATAGTTCTCTAAACAAAGAATATTTCCAGTGCAAAGGAACTCTGAATCCCTCCTGACCAACAGTCTTCCCCTGGCCAGCTTAGAATTGGGTGGGAAGTATCTGTATGACTACCTCTACCTAAGTCAATTCAAGCTTCCACAGCAGTGCGGGAAGCTATAGGGATACAATTCTGTGTTGCTACAGTAATGTCTGGTGAGAATTTTATTTATGGGCACAAAATCCATTGATATTAGAACGAACTTACTTCTAAAGAAACTGTGGTTACGATGTCCAGTCTTACAGCTCAGTCCTAAGTATTCTCATGGGACTTAACTCCCATGTCAGATTACACAGAATTCCTGAAGGTGCTACTTTCTGGTGGTCCTGAAATGATGGAAGCCCTATTTCTTACATATCAGAGTTTTAAATCTATAATAATGCTAGTTCTGTTCTATACAGCCACAATGTGCAAGAATTAATTGTTATAAGTTAAGCGGTATAGCAACTACATCTCTACAATGTATGCAAATTTCTTAAATGAATATAATGGTTGATTCTAGGGTTAATACAATGGTTGATACTATCCAGCTCCACACTAGCACACAAAAGAGTAGTATTAATGCTCCATATTCCTGCCTTAACAAATTACAAGCTTCCAAGTAGAATTCAGTGCGATAGTTCTGCCTACAAATCCCTGAAAAGTGTTGACGTTATGTATCCTAAACATTTCTTCCTTTCTTATTGCTATTTGGTTTGTTAAGAATATGGACTAGAATATGGCCTAGCATTCTATGTAGCTGCTCCATGATTAGAAATCTCCCTCTTCTTGGATATTTTCCCCACAAATGAGCATCTTTCACCATCAGTAGAATACCTTCTAAAATGAATGGCATTTGGAAATTAGTGCTTTGCAGGTATGGAGGATTAATTTAATATATTATTTTTGTCTTGATTAATGACAAAATGTAACAAAATCTGAGCCTCTAGAGCAAAGTCAAATTCAAATTCTAATAAATAACACAAATAAATGGGAAATAACTTCAGATTCCATAATTAATTCTAAAGATAAAATAACAGTTGTACAGAACTCCTAACTCAGCATTTCTATTAATTACAAACTTAAATCTCAAACTCAATGTCTTAAGTTCATCTATTTGGAAAGAAACAAACAGTATCAAGTAATAAATATTCATCTTAACAAACCTACAAAGAATTGAACCTTTAAATAATTTCATTAAATTAACAATCCTTTATTCAGTGTTTAATAAGGTAAAACTTCCTACTCCCAACAGTTATTTTAACAAGTCTTTGGCAGATAATAAAAACACTCTTCGATCAAGCTTCCAGAATTATAAGTAGCATCGACAGTTATTAAAACTGTTATTATCCAGGTCCCAGAGCAAAATGTCAAGCTTTGCCAACCTCATTTTGACACAAATACACAAGGCAATAAAGCTTTCCTACCTTGTATTTCTTCCCAGTCCTAGCATTGATGCAATCCAAGAAATCTCTGCTGCAAAGGCTATGATCTGCTAGTGTACGATTTGCTCTTTTCAATTTTTCTTGTAAAAGCTTTATTTCAGACTTTTGTGATGTTATGAGATATTCCAGCTCCCTTAAAGAATACTGTTGGAATTCCTAGAAAATAGAAGGATAAACACTGTAGAACTTGGGGATAAAGGAACAGTTGGAATAACACCTGCAAAGGCATTATATTATACATTTTAGCCAACTTAGTTCAGAGATGAAAGTGGCATATAGATGCTGTTTTCATATGCCACAACTGTACACAAGACTCAGTGCATTGTAATACTTATTTAGATTGAACTTATTGTGATTTGAATGATGCTTATGATCTGAAGAGTTTCCAAAGGCATTTATTTCATAAAGTTCCACAACTCAACTTGCCCCTAAAACACATTAATTAAATCCCTTCTTGCCCTATTCTAACTTATTTTTTCCTGTCCCATCACATCCTATGCCTGGGATCAAAAGCCAAATACAAACAACATGAATTTGGCAGTGCATGTAAATAGCACTAAAATTTGGAAAATATTCAAAGGAAACAAACTGCAAAGGTGGTTGTTTGGAGCACAATCCTATACCAGTTTACCCCGAGAAAGCCTCACTGAAATCAGCAAGATTTACTTCCAATATGTATAGAATTATACATTTAGTGAATCTTTTGTCTTCACTTAGCACACAAAAGGTAAGGTTAATAAGACATTCCCAAGAATTCTTAAAGACCATGGAAAACCTTAAATATTCAGGTCTCTATAGCTCATCACCATCACCCTAAATTAAAAGGGAAGCCTCAGCAGATGGTGCAATGTACTCAATCTCATTATGACTCAAAAGGTGTAATGATAGACAGGTTACCCATGGCTGTAATTCTGCAAGTGGTCACCTGTGCATTCAAACATATGGGTGACTGACAAGCTGACTTACTGGAGGTAGGTCAGACTCATTAATGCAGAATGGGTGACAAGATCACTTGACCAAGAGAGCACTCCACTCTGGGCTGAATGTGTAGAGTGTAGTGCTGGATGGAAATGCATGGTTTTGAGAATACAGTTAAGTGACGTAGCTCCATTAGTAAAACATTTCAAGCAAATACAACTGATGTGCTTGTGTGGAGTGAGCTAGGATTGCAGCCCTAAGTTTGAAACACAAAAGCTGGTATGCCAGAAGTATGTTTTGGACAATCCAGGATGAAAGATAGAAAATGGCTTTTTTTTTTTTTTTTTTTTGTTCTTCTCCACATAGCAAATAGAAAGACATAGCAATTTTCTTTCTCTGTGAGAGAACCTTAGATGACTGGTGAAGTTCAGGAATAGGCAGCAGGTGGCTGTGCTCTTGCAAGACAAAAATAAAAGCATCTAGTAAAAAGCCTGATAAATCATTTAAGAGGCCAGTAATACAACACAAGTGTGGGTATCAGGGAAAGACTGTAGCCTGGTTGCAATTTGTCTGGGGCAGAGGTTTAGGGAATTTAACCTAAGGTAAAAGAAGTCCTTAGGAGATTTGTAATGGCAACAGGGTCTCTTGAGTTCTCAAGAACTGTCACTAAGCAGTCTTTTGAAAATTCCAAGGTAAATATTAGTAATCCTTATGTACAAAATATTGTATGTAAAATTACTTGTTAATCATTCATCCTAAGCCTGTTTGCTGGCCACTAGTATTTTAAAGTATTCTCACAGAATTGGTGACAGCAGGCAAGGACCAGTCTTTGGAAGTCTGAGCTAGACTGGCAGAAGGTTCCTTAAATGCAGAAATTTAACAAAAGACTTGGCTCTTAATAAGTAACCTCACAGGTAGATTGGTTCAGTAAAGCAGCAATTTCCCAACTGGTGGTAGCACTAGTAGTAGGAAGAGGAAATCTTCCCATAACAGGTGAATCTGGTCATTAACTGAGCCTTGATTTTGTTTGCTTAACTTGCCCTTGCCCTACTATACATCTTCTTTGTCTTGGGCATTTCAGAAATGGCTCATTTTTAAGTTACCTCTCTGTGGTTAATTGGGATATTATGGATTGCATACATAAGCTACTTTATATACAGAATCATGCAATCACGCAGCAGCAGTTTTTTCCAGGATCTTGAGTTCTATGAAATTTGTCCCTTTCTTTTTTCTTTAAGAACAAGCTTTGTCTAAGTATGTACGTAAGCAGCTACAGGAGAGCACCCCATAGGAGGGTTTGAAATCCTTGTAAGAGGTTTCAAATATCTAAGCAGCAAAAGTGCTATTTATTTATTGTGTGGAGTTTGTTTTCTTTACTTAGCACATGTTATGCCATCTTTTCAATAAAAATTTCCAGGGCAGTTTATAACAGGTCATAACATACAATAAAGTCACAACAAAGGAACAGTTGACAACAAAAACAATTGGAAAGAATTTAAAAATACATTACAAGTTCTATCCCACTTTCCCAGGGAAAAGCCTTCCAGAACAGTTAATTTCTCAGTCACTTACTGGTTTTACTTAAATACATACACACCCATGAGCACTGCTAAAGCTCAGAGCATGCAATAACAAGAAAAATAAATAAGTAAAAATGCAATATTCATCCTCAAAATAGAGGAAGGGTAATCACAGAAGCAAAATTAAAAATCCCAATTAGCTACTATTTCCACCAAAGCCTCCCAAAAAATGCACATCTTTACTAAGCTATAAATATAAGGATGGTGCCAGACGGTCTTCCCTAGTGAGGACATTCCAAAGCGCTGGTGCCATGACTCTACTTCTTATACAAACCTATCACACTCAGTTAATGGGAAAGGGAGACCTGGAACAAGGCCTTCTATGTAGATCAATGAGCACAGGAAATAACATACAGGAGCATCTGTCCTTTAAATATCCAATCCCAAGTCTTTGGGGGATTTAAGACATGAACTGAGCTCCAAAGCAAGTATGTTTCCAATGGAAATAAAATACTGTCACATGATCTGCATGACCAGCTGCAGTAAACAATCTGGCAGTGATAACTTGGGTCAGGATGTTGTGAACAATCAAATGGCAGCTGCTGTGCCAAAGGAAAACTCCATGTTAGGTACAATTGGAAAAGGAGCTGAAAATAATATTCCTCTTATACAATCTTTGGTGCAACCACATCTAAAATACAGTGTTTTGAAAAAGGTTATTACAGAGTTTGGAAAAGTGCCAGAAAGCAGACCAGGACTAAAATGACCAGGGATTGGGGAAATTCTCCTATAAGAAACAGTGCAACAGCTAATATAATCACATGGTACTTAGGAAAAAAGCAGGTAAGGGGAGACATGATAGAGTTATTTAAATTTATTCATGCGTGTGGAGAAACTGCAGAGGGAGACTTTTTTTCTCTCTCTCTGATGATACTATAACCGGAAGACATCCTGTGCAGAGATATTCAGGATCAATAAAAGGAAGTACTTCTACACACAGCACAGTTACACTATGAAATTCACTGCCACAAGAAGTAGTGTTGGCCACCAATCTGAACAGCTTTAAAAGGGGATTGAAGAAATTCATGGGATCAAACATGTTCATGTTTATTAGTCTTGATGGCTATATGCCTCCTCTAGTGTCAGAGGCAGTACTCTGATGTACATGAGTTGCTGAGGAATTGGGGAAGAGTGGGCTGCTATACCCTGTTGGAGGGATCTTGTGGACAGCTAGTTGGCCACTATGTGAACATAAAGCTGAATGGTCTGATCCTGCATGGCTTTTCTTATGTTCTTCTCATGATGTAATTCATGGATACAAAAGTATGCTGAGAAGTGTTAGTTTAACATGTGAAGAAGTTATGGACTTGACACAGACAATTGTCTTCAAGGAGCTGAAAGTGGTCTGAGATTGTTACCTGGCAGTCGTAGACTAAAACAGCTCAAATCTCACTCTGTTCATACAGTTTTGGTGGTTATATGAATCAACTTAAGCAAACATTACAGTAGAACACACACAAATAAAATCAATGTAAACATTTTTATAGAAAGACCATCAACAAATTTGTAAGAGTAACTAAGAATTAGGTCCAGATTTATGCTGAATCAAATGTACTATAGGAAACATACCCTCCACCAATCTGAAAATGCTACACAAAGAGTTGGGAGACCCTGCTAAATAAGAGCAAGGTGTGTTGGGAAGGGAAGGGAAGGCCTCCAAAAACTGAGCCATGGGACCTTCCATCAGTGAAGCCATTGCTCTCAAGGTAAATCCCAGGTCCAACCTAAAGCTGCAATACTACACCCAACTACCTAGACCTATTCTTGTCTTTGAGTAGACACTGCAAAGAATCCTTAATAATGCTTAGCAGAACGTTTTATTTTTTCTTTTGTATTAGTTCAAAATAACCACAGTCTTGCTTATTTCAAGGTACAAACCTCTTTTTCATAATGTATATATGCATACCACCCCTTGTTATTTAAACCTTATTTAGCACCTCCAGTATTAGAACTGACTACCTATGATAGGCAGTTCTAACATGAAATGATATGATAATGTTTCCTATATGAAAAAATTATTCATTAAATATTTTTCTCGAATCTGAGGAATGACAATTCTAGGTATAGGTCTGACTCCCTGTTCTGGCACATATAAACCAGTTCTATGGGACTCCTTGCTTAAAAAAGAAAGCACTTCTCTCTGCATCCAAGATTTGCAGCCACAGCAAATAAAAAATTTGTGGAAGACCTGGGGTGGGGAAAGGTAGAGGCAGTTAAACATAACAACAAATATGATTACAGTCAGGAATAAGAATTAACTTATTTAAATTAAACTTGTCCTACCTGCGGTGGGTGCCTGCCCCACCACATACATACATACATACATATATAAAGCAGAGGTGACAAGACTTGCTCAATGGAAGAGTCACATACAGCAAATGTCAGATGTCTGAGAACTGCAAGCAGGTGCCTGTAGGCAGCAGTGGCAGGCAGCAAGTGAGTGCCCATGGGCAGCAGGGGTAGGTGGGGAGCCGCAAAATAAACCCAAAGAGCTGCATGGGGCCCCTGAGCCTCAGTTTGGCCACCCCTGGTATAAAGTACAACTTAATTCAATTTGCTTCACTTAAAGAGAACCTTTGCCTCAAAGAGTACAGTCATACGATGCCACTGAGGTCCATAGCATTAGAAACCACCACAAATATGGATGATTTACTGACA